AGAAAGACGGATAGAAAGACAGTCGGGTGGGTATATAGTAGTTGATCGGGCTACACTCTAGACATATGCTCTATATTTTCTCTAGTTCTACCTATGCTGAGTGTTTTGGTTTTGATCAGTGTTCTTGTTCTGTACATGTTAAAAAAATGTTTAAAAATTTCCAATTGATTGTCTTGAGCTGAACGTAGTTTACCAAATTCAGCGCCTTTCTATGCGCTTCTCAAAATTTCTAGCTGGCCAGCTCATAACACACTCTCAAGTTTTTTTTTTGGTTATTACACCAATGCAAATAGTGTTTTTTGTGTGTGTGCGAGTGTTTGTGACTGAGTGTGAGTATTCTTTTTTTCATTTCTGTACAAAAGTCGTTGATCTTCTCCTCTGTAAAGTTAAACCCCAAAAAAAGAGTTCAGTTTCATACAGATGACCCGCCCAAAAGTGGATTTGGTAAAAGAGGAGGTAATACTTACGAAGCCGGAGGACTGGGCAATGCAACCCTGTGGATGTTCCACGTGGCCACCGACACGGAATGCTCGTCGGCCGCATAGCATCGCCACACAGCCTGGATGAGAGTGGCCGCCGGTTGGCGACGACGGATCATGTGCTTCTGCCGCTGCTGCTGTTGCACCTTCAGCGCGAAGCCACTGCCCAGGATACCCTAAAATATTAGAGGGTATGTTGCATGGAGTGGTTTAGTAATTACTCTTGTAATTGACCTATCAAAAATAATTAATTTTCTTGGCTTATCAACTATAACTGCGCCTCTTAGAATTTATTCTCTATTATCAATAAATGATAACAAATTGAAGTCATGGATGACACTTAATAACACTTCAGTGTAATTAAAAATTCTATGGGCTCACTATAATTGAGCATGTAATGATTGTGGAAATAGTTTGATTATCATTTAAAAATCTAGTTTCTTTAATATTTAATTTTATTATCTTAAGCTCAATACTATGAAAAAAATACTTCTTGATTAGTCATTATTAATGAATTTTAATAAAAAAAACGAATGAAATTACTTGATTTGGTATGCAGTTTTTTAAAGATAATTATGATTTAAAAATGTTATCTTTAAAAATGAAATAATTTTTTATTTCCCCTAATATTAATGACTTACCGCAGGCAGTGCGAAGAAGGAGATTCCCAGAAGAGCACAGCAAGAGGCAATTAACTTGCCCTGCCAAGTGATCGGCACCATATCTCCGTAGCCCACCGTACAGAGCGTTATCTAATATCGGAAATACAAGGCTAATACCATGGGAAATTTACTAGACACCTTGCCACTTACCACACCCCACCAAAGTGCCTGGGCGAAGTTGCTGAACTTATCGTTGACGTCCTTCTCCCACATGTAGACCAGGAATGATGCAAAGATTAGACCTAAGAACCCTATGTACATGGTTGTGATCAGCTCCTGTGTGAAGTAATACAAAGGAAATGTAATAATGGAACTTTATAATACAGATCTGTATTACACATGATACACAATTTGTTTATGTGCGATTACACAATCCTTTGTTTCAAAATAAGAGCGCATTTGTCATTTCGTTTAAATATACATCAAAAAATTAAAAGTCTGATTAGCAGTTGGTATTTATAAATGTAGATTTTTGCAAAATGCTTGAATATCTAAAAATTCTGTTTTATATTTATATTTTTAAAATTTTCATATAAAAATTTAGTTATATGCTTTGGATACAATTATACATAATTCATTTTTTTGGATTCGAAATGTATTTGACTTTATTATAGTTTTTGTTTTTGAGTGTACAAAAATATAAAAATTATTATAAATTTTTTTGAGTGTACTAAATGAGTTGTTTCTCAACTGCAATTAAAACTCATTAGACCCATACAAATTAATAATGTTTTATAAATGTGCATAAACGCAACTTGATAAACAAATGAGAAAAAAAATTGCGCTTCATTTTTTGAGAACAAGTTTTTTCAAAAACTGGTAAGGATTAAGTCGCACTCGAACAATTGATTGTTAACTCACCTGTCTATGTGCGTAAACAACAGAGCCAAGCAACTTCCAGGTGCCGCCCCTTCGATCCATTCGCACCATCCGAAGAATCTGAAAGAAGCGGAGGCCACGCAGGGCACTCGTGGCGAACACCTGGCCCGAAGTGCCCATTCCTAATACTACAATTGAGGCTAAAATGGTGACAATATCTGGAACACAGGAAAAGCACTTAGCTACTATTCCTTCATAGTTTGTATAGTTAATTCACCTATAATACAGAATGGTCTCTTCACGAACTTCAGTCGACCCAGGCAGCCCTGGTATCGCGATCGGCAGCCCGAGGACCATAATCGGGCTCCGAACTCCATCGTGAACCAGATGACCACCAGGATCTCCATGCGGAACAGGATGTAGACGGCGTCGTCCTCGTACTCCTTGATGGTGGAAAACACACTGAGCGCCAAACAGGTGAACACCATCAGGAATCTTAAGGGATAAAGGAGTTAAGATAAAAAAGTATACAAATAAAGTTAAAAATTGTTATCCAAGTATCCTCTAACAAAAACAACAGAATTAATTGAACTGAAATAAAATTAAACATTTTTAAAAAGTATTTTATTTTATTATAGGTACCTACTTTAATATATTATTTACAAAACATTTATTGATTTTAAATTCTATTAAAAAACCGTTTTTATAATAGTGTCACAATAGTTAAAATTCCAAACTATTTATTATGAAACCAAAATGTTTTGTCTACTATACCCTTTTTAAAAAACCCTTTGCATTCTTTTAAGTTGGAAAATGGTTCATAATAAAACTTTTAAACATGAGACGGATCAAATTTTTTTTTATTTTACAAATATTCAGTTTAGTTAAAACAATGTGTAATACTTTTAATGGCTAAGCCACACATTAGAAACGAGAAGTAGGTATGTATATATTTTAAAAGTTTATTCAATTATTTCAGAATGACTAATTGTTTTTTAGTGTGTCATAAGTGTGTCCGAATGTCATAAATATATTATTTAAATTTTAAATATGTACTTACACCATCACATGGTAGAAGATGGCGTGCAGGCCGCGCGGCCGCTCCAGGAAGTTGTAGAGGCGACTCTGGAGGCGCCGGTAGCGAACATCGCGGCGGGTGCCGCGATTGTAGTTCAGCGGCTTCCCTAGGAGTGACATTCGCGGTTGCAGGATTCTTTCCGAGATCGGCCCTCCCGGTCTACATTTCCTGTAATTCACAACATTCCACTTAGTAATCACATTTTTTGGCATTTCATAGAATCACTTAGGCTCATAATAACTATTTTAAGGTGTACCCCTTGTAGCCTTTTATGTCGTAGAAGGCATAAATATCGTTATCGGGATCCATTCTGATCTCATTCCAACCCAACGAGTTCTCGGAAAATCTCGGCTAATATCTCTTGACACTTTGGACACGTCTGGCTCCGACGGCGATTGAACCGCAACTCGATCGTCGGCTGATCGTTGGCCGGTTAAAAAACCTTCCTTAACAACTAGACTTTCAAAACCCCATGTGTAAATTTTATTAATTATCTACATAAACAGTTTTTTTTTCTTTCGTTTCACACACCTTGCATTTTTACGACGGCCCAAGTCTGCGTAGACCTCTATTTGATTTTGTTTTAATATATATACCCTATATAACCCAAGTATATTGCACCTCGTCATCAGCAAAGTGCCATAAAATTTGGCGTATTTTAGCGACGTTTTCGTTTTGGTTCTCCTTCGCCGTTGTGGGCGGGTCAGGTTCGCTTTAGTCACGATCTCTCGACTTTGTCTTTGCCCGACGTGCTGCCAAGCGATCGTACGTCATTAACATCGGGCACTTGCCATACCCCACAAACAACCTAAATATGGGTGAGTTTTGGCAATTCGATTGGGGAGTGCTGGAAAATTACCAGACACTGATGTCTCCCATCTATTATGTTTATATAAACTTCCTGGAGGCTTCATATGCCAAAAGTTTTGGAAAAGTGGAAACACACAGTCTCTGAAGCAAATAAAAGTCTTGAATCAAAAAGGTGAAAACAAAATAAGATACATGCTTTAATCAGAACCATTTCTTGTACAAAAAATACTCTAAAGAATTAAATAAAAAAATATATATGGCTTAGAAAAATTGTTCAAAGTTTTCCCAATTTTTTTTTTACTAGTTTTTTTATAACTCAGAATGATTAAATTTTTTATTTGGACTGGAAAATATATGAATAAGCTTTAAAATCAATTATGGATAATAGATGCTTCTATTGGATTGCTTTCTCTGTCCAGAACAGGTAGTTTCCCCGTCAAATCAAGTACACATAATATATACAGCTATAATCACAACTATATGATTTATTAATTATAAAAAAATTAATTAATGCAAATATATAATAGATTTATATTTGTAAAAACAACTAATCGCTGAGAAAGCTAGTTTTCCGAATACACGATTTTTATTGCAACTATGCAACCAAAATATATTTATATTTTAAAAAATAAATTTTTGAGTTAAGATTTAATTTATTATTATTATAATTTAGATTTTTGCTTATTGGTATTCATTAGTTTTTTGTATTTTTCAAGAATATAAAAAAGTATTTTCCCAATGAATGATTTCTTTATCCTCCATTAGATTTATTTTGAGGCAGTAGACATATCCACGCTAACTGGTCAGATAACCATCGTAAATAGTTAGTGCTCCGCTAATTGTATGTGGGAAGCGGGAGAGCCAGTTCTCAGGTCTCTTTTCCTGGCAACTTTTCAAAGCTCCCCACGAGCGAGATAATTGCAGTGCTGAAGTCAGTTATCGACATCGCGATCGCGAAAGCTCCTCGTTCTTCACTATCCACGATCCGTGGAAATGTGCCTGTGTTGGGTCTTTTTTTGTTTTGATTCCACGCGATGAGTCATCTATGTATATCTTATCTTCCAGCGAATCCCCAAAACGAAAAGTGCTGCCCATCAACATAAAACCATGAGATAGTCGTTAAATTTTTAAAATTGTTTAATGCATTCTTGCTTGTTTTTTGTATCTGTTTTGTGTATTTGTAGTTTTGTATGTGTGGCTTAGGTTAGGCAGTAATTAAAATATACGATGTGGTGCGCAATAATGCTCGCTTGGCCGTTTTGTTTTTTTTCTGTTTTTTTTTTTTTTCAGAACGTATTTACACAGTGGATCGCCGGGGGAGGGGAGAACTGAAACAGCATTAACAGTAGAAGTATAGTACGTTAAATTTAAATGATTCGCGTACAAGATCACAAGTTGTAGCACCAGGCGGGGGAGGACGAAGCGCGTTTCGGGGTAATGTTAATCCTCTCCAGAATCCACAGAATCCCCGCCACAATCTCACTTCTTGGCATCGATGATGATCTCGTCACCCGACTGGATGTTATAGCTGTAAAGCTGTTTGTTCGGGAACCGCATCTCCTCGGGTCCGAACTCCTTGTAGTCCTGATCCAGATAGTACAGGCGCATCTTGTTGGGCGCCAGACCCACTAGTTTCTCCAGCTTCACCTTCAGATCGTTGACGGTCAGGTAGATGTCCACGAATCGACTCTCGCTCACATCGTTGTAGGTAAACAGAACCTTGACCCTTTTATCCGGTTTCAGGCTCACATTCACCAAAGGATCCAGTTTTCCGTGGACTCGAAGTAGCTCCTCATATCTCGCCGGTCTCTCCTCCTCCGGTTTATCCATGTAGTATCTCACAAAGGCCCGCTCGGAATCCACTCGCTCATCGTTGCTGATCTTCCCACCTCCGTTCAGCATCTCCACATTGGGCAGTCGGGCTATCAGGAGCTGCCTTCTCTCGTGCTCCGTGCACTCCAGACTTTCCCACAGCGGCCAGTGCTTCACCCTCAAATTGCGAAGTTGCCCGAATTTGGCCAGCTGATCGATGGCTGACCAGCTGTCCAGTTGCGCCGAACTGAGGTTCAGTAGCTTCAAGCTGGGGAAGTACCTATGGGTATCGCTGGTCTCCTCTGCCTGCAGCGACCTGATGGGACAGTCGGCCAGAACGAGGGCCTCCAGATTGGGGAAGAGCCGGCCCAGCCGACAGATTTCCTGCCAATGCTCGACGGGATTGCCGGTGAAGTGGAGGGTCTTGAGAGCGGGATGCGCTTTGGTAATCCGCCGCTCCGTTTCCTCCGGCGTTTCCGTTTCCTGCAGCCGCTGCACCGCTTCCTCGGCATCGATCAGCACCTGTCGGTAGTTATTGAGGCTAAGATGCAGTTCCTGGAGCACGGGAAGATTACGCAGCAGGGCATCCACGCAGGCCCAATCCAGGTAGGTGCCATTCAGCACCAGACTCTTCAAGTTGATCGTGGGAGCCGTGGGCAGCGATCCAATCGGACTGGCCAGCTGATTCTTGCTCAGGTTGAGGAACTCGATGCGCGGCATGTGCTCCAGTATGCTGAAGACCTCCGACCAGTCGCTCAACTTGTTCTGGGCCAAGTCCAGTTCCCTGACCCGCTGGCACTTCTCCCGGATGCTCTCGAAGTCACCAGCGGAGTCAATGTCGCAGTCATTGAGGACCAGCAATGCGGGAACACTGGTCAGCGGCGACAGACGGGGTATGAAGATGGAGAACTCCATGCGTCCGCCGCACTTGGTGACCGTAAAGTCATTGGGCAGATCGCTCCGCTTGTGCAGTTCCGGTTGGTGGGCATTCTCAAATTCGCATTCAGCGAAATACTTGCGCTCCAGCGCCTCCAATAGGGATGGCATTCTGAGGAATATATGTGAACAGGCTAGTTTTTCTTCGATCCCCCTGTATATTCTATTGGGGTCTAGTTATTTTTTGCCCCCTATTGATTTTCCACTTTTCCTCGCTCATAGACGTTGTTTTTCTCTTGGCCAGAATGGCTATGATGCAATTTTTCAGTTTTGCGCAGTTGCAGTCTTCATTGATTTTAAACAAATTATTGCGCACGTTTCGCGTTCGTTGTTTTTTGTTTCAGTTTCTGTTAATTATTGCGCACTAATTCAAGTCTTTTTTTTTTGTGTTTCGACGTGCTTCGATGTTAAAAAAAGATCGTAACAAAGAAACCAAAAGTGCGTTGGTCTTGGCTGGGGTTATTTTTTTGATTTTTTGTTTCGAATGTCTCCGCCAGCTTAGATGCGTTTTCCCTTTGTTGTCGTTTTGTGTTTGTTGCTGCTGCTTAACCTTTGTGGCAATGGCCAGCTTTTCCGCTTTTTTGCTTTTCTGCTTTTCCGCAACGCTCTCCGTCCACTCGCAATGCCACCAAACGCTCAACTAACCACCGAGAACCGCGCCAACTCCTCGACGGTCGGTGGTGCAGTGGCTATATGTACTGTGTGTGTTTGGCTACGTGTGTATGGGTGAGTCGTGTGCTCGTGTTCGGATTCGGATTCTGGCCTGTTTAGTGCTTTTTGTGTGTAGGTCGCTCGACATGCGCACAGGAGCGTTTCGGGCCTGAAAAAGTGGCGGCCCCAGCCAATTTGAGTCCGGGGTAGTACTTCTTAAAAACTCTGATGCGATAAGTTCTCGTCTGACATACGCTCGATATCCTATCAGACAAGAACTTATCGGTTAATTTTGACAATGCCTAGGAAATAGTACTAACGAAAACACCCTTGGGCGTATATCTCACGGCCCCCTATTGTGTTGTTTCGCAAATGAAGTCACTGAGTATAAGATGTATCCCGATATTTAATAATCTTTTATTATGTTCAGTTACACAAATAATCTTTAATATCTTTAGATCAATCACAAACTATATTTGATACTAAGTTTAAGTATCTGTGGGCCCAATTTCGGGTATTGCGCATTGCCGCCCCTCATGTAAACGATTTGACAGCGACCTTGCCGACAAAAATAAATACGCTGTTTCAATTACGAAATTTTGTTTTAACTAAGACGGCAGAACAAATTATTTGTTTGGCTAGCTCTCGCTTTTTTTTGGGGTTTGTGGCGCAGGCGAGAATAGAACAAATAGAACGTTGAGCAGGGGGAGGTGGAAAAGTATCAAAAATAAATAAAATACATTTACAATGACCTTGTCATGTGCACTTGACAGGGGCCCTAGAAAATGGATATAGAATTTTTGGCTAGTGTTAAATTGGGCGCAGGGGCCCCGTAAAAAGTGAGTGCGCCTCTGGCGAACCGTGAGGAAAACCAGTTATAAAGTCAATGGTCATGGCACAGTGTGTACTCATTACGAGTGACAGGTGGCCAATTGAGATGGCGAGTGAAAGGAACACTTGCAAATTGCATGGGGTAATGCAAATAAATAAATAAATTGATTTTAATTTAGAGCGACCTTGGAGCTCATAAAATGCCGTTACATTTGGGGGTGGCGGTTGCATGTCAAAGGGGTTCCACTTTACAGCTTGAAAGGTGCGCAATAGATTCCCGAGAGAGGAAAAGGAGAGAAGTGGAGCAAAGAGTGTGGAGGGCAAGCTGAGAGGGAGCTCAGGAGAGTAATAAGCGGGAGAGCTCCAATTTACTGCACATAAAGCTCTCACTCAGCTGGGCTTTGTTGTCCCCACGAAAACAAAGCAAAAACAAACAGTGGGGAGAGAGAGGAAAACATCACTCACATGTTTGTTTGCATTACGGTGCTTTGGCGGACAACAAAAAATTACGCAGCATTTGTGCTGGAGCTTTGAACAGCCACCAGCTGATTGTGTTTGGGCAGGAAAGCTGCCCCTATCCCCATCACCCCCACGAATTTAGGCCCCTAAAAGCTTTTGCACCATGTGCAACAGCAATCAACAAACAAAGAGCAAACAGATGGCAGCACTGTGTCCGCTCTTTTGTGCTTTTGCTTTGTCATTGGGGGGCGTTATGGCGAGAGTTGTTGTAACCCGTTACCATATCGAAGGTTTTGCTTTACAGTACAACCTCGATGAATGAAAAAACGAAGCATAATTATGGTTAATGGAAATACAAATTTTTAAATTCTTAATTATACTTTTTATTCAAATTTTTAAAACAAAAAATATGTTTTCAAAAAAAATGCTATTTGTATAATTAAATTGCCTGTATCACGTTGTTACCATATTGCCAATCTTTGAAATTATTTTTTGCTTTCAAAATATAAATATTATGAGAAATTTTTAGCCCATTTTACCATTTTACGTGACTTTTTATGAATTTTTTTATGAACAAACAATTTGGCTTAATCTCCTTTATAGAAATCATTGCATTTAAAGCAATTTACAGCAAATTCAAACAGATATTGCCTAAATCTTTCAACTTAAAAATTTAGTTAGAATGCGTAAGCTGCATAGAAAATTCCTACAATATCGTTTGAGATAGAAACTTGAGTTAACTGAAGTGGAAGCAATATTTATTTTCCAACTCGTTATACGAACTCGATATCGTATTTAAATTAAATTTAGGCAATTTCGCGTTACAGAACTTGGAGTGCAACTGTTCTTGTGTTTTTTTTGGCACGCCAACGTTCCGCATGGCTGAAGTCAATTTGCAAATATTTCACTGCTCAGCCTGCCATAAATATGGTTGATAGATAAAATTGCTTGTACACACATGCAAGCTAATATTCCGGATTGACAGCCAGTTGCAAATTGGTCAATGTCTGAGGAGGGTTCATTTTGCGACCCATTCTTTGCCAAATTCCATTGTACGGAACAAGTTTCGAGAACATGAGAAATGGAGAAGTCAAAAGTGTTGACAGTCTGAAAAAATACCTGTATCATTCTTGCATTTTAAACTACCTTTGCTTATCTTAGACTGCAAATGTTTTTAGGTCAAAAGAACGGTTTGCAAAATGAATTTAAATGTTTTATTGAGTTTTTATTCCAATTATGCTTGTTAAAAATAAGATGCGTTTGATAAAACTTTTAAATGTTAGAAATACTTAGAACTTCTCTTTAAATATATTCCCAAATAAGAGGTTAAATTAAAACACGGCTTTTGTTGATTTTCCAAGAGGATAAAGGCCCCAAAAATACTTATTTGCCAGCAAAAACCATTAAAAGCTGTGATGGGAAGTGGACACTCGCTGACCATTCCTATACTATTCACTTTATGGGGCTCTTAACCCCAGAAGTCAATCACTTAAGTAGGCCTGAACCTGTTCTATATGGCCAAGATGCGGACTCGTGGGTGTTTGCATCTATTGAAGTCATCAATTATGTCGACGACCCACATCGCTCATTAGCTATATGCTATATGCGTTTTTTGTATATTTTAGCCAAGGAGCTACCTCTTCCCTCGCCATTTGCGTCTATATTTAACCAAAATCGTTGAGACTTTTGCGCTTAGACTTGTTGGCATTTTCGCTATGTGCGATAATAGTTCAAAAATATCCACTTCTTTGTTATGGTTCGTTGGGAAAAGAAGAGTGGCGAATAAGTCATTTGTCAATAGAATTTTCATTTCACTTGACTTTTCCCCCAGCGACAAGAATTCTGTGCGGTCCTTTGGGCCACAGGTCACTTTTGGCCATCAACATCGTATATCATATATCACATATTATGCATCATGTTGTATATCAGCAAAATTTATTATTTGCTGATCTATATGCGCATTGATTTGCCTTTATTGGGGCCTTTTTCATGAAGATGGATGCGTTTGGTGGTAATTAGGAATTTTGGCTGTTGCTTTGCACCGATATAAATATTGCTTTTATGGCCACAAAAACGCTGGCTTTTGTTTACACATGGGATCGGTATAACAAAGGCCTGGTATAATCCAGCCCATTGAATTTTCAAATCGATTGCGTCAATTAATGCAGAAACTAGACGAGTTGGTTGGCTTGGTTGTTGTTGGTCGGTCGTAAAGTTTCTAAAAATTGTACTGCTGCCTGCGACGTTTAACGTTGAATTTAAAGCGAATGGCACACACAACGTCGGGAAAATGGTAGCGTAAACATAATATGAAATGGCACAATTTCCCTTGGCAGCATCTTTATTTTTCATCTTCTTTGTCTCATTTAGAGTCTAGACGGTATTTTGAATTATTGCACGATACCCAGTGTCAACAGCATCCACATCCACTCTCGCTCTGGGTCGGAGTAAATGTGTCTGGTCTTGCGGCAAACCTTGCGTATGAGTAATTTCATTATGATTAGCCGCCTTGTGCTGCATTTCAAACGAGCTCTGCGGGTCCATTGAACGGCTTTGATATATGAACAGTTTGTGGCAAACACGAAAAGTTGTTTATCATTTTGGGTCTTTAAAATATCTCATAATTATAAGTACCAATAAATAATAAAAAATGCAAATATTTGTAATGGATATTTGTTGTAGATATAAGGACTTCATAAAATGTTTGAATTTAAATTTACTAAAGTAACAACTGACTTTTGTATCGAAAATAATTTCAGTTAACGAAAAATAAAGCTTAAAAATGTATTTTTTCTTCTTTTAGATTTCAGAAATTATAAAAAGGAATTTTGGCTGTATTTATTCTATTTAAATATCTGTAGCAATATTATGATATCCTCTGCTGTTTTTGTGGTAGATTGTCTACCACTAGTTGATATATATTTTTCAGAGGGCAAGACTTGGCTCGTAAATTCTGGCAGAGGAAACCGAATCAGATGGTACAAAAAACTCTCTGATAAAAGCAAACAAATTGTTTTATCGATGGAGTCTAGTGAATTGCATAATTAATATCGCCAGCGTTGACAAGTCAATATTCGCAACGATACTTTCGATAAGCAATTTTTAATTCCATTTTAACGTTGTGGCTGTTATGTTTTTGCTTTTAACGCTTCGACTAATTGGGCTTGGAGCCCAAGTGGCTTGTGGGGGGAAAAGGGGAGGGGAAAACGGGAAGGGGAAGGGGGAGGTGGGAGGTACCTGTCAACTAGCAGCGTTAATTTAATATGCGACATTTGCACTTTTTGGTCAGACACCATCGCTTTTCACTTGACTTTGGGTTCATCGGTTACGTTTTCGCTTCGGGGTGTCAATTTCTGGGAAAACTCTGGGGCAACGGGGCTTTTCCAGCGGAGGTTTTCCTGGGGAGGGTTTTCCAGCGGAGGTGTCGCTGCGGTCTGACCCTCCAGCTACGGCGTCAGATTCACAGATTGTGTTGGCAGCGCAAAAGTTCATTTTAAGCAATGCACTTTATGCACTTTCGTTGGTCTACCAAGCGGGGAAATTGTCGGTTGCTTCGGGGGAAAAGCGGGGAAAATGCGAGTCTCGCATATTGCTCATCGTTTGTCATCATCATCATGATGATGACGATGGTGGTTGCCATAGCTGAGCATCACGCATTTTTATAAAATTCAAGCACTTCGAGAGATTTCCTTTTAAGGAGTGCGGGATAATGAAAAATGCCCACTTTCATGAAATATGAATTTTGTGACAGTCAGGGACAAAGTTAATGAATTTATTATGCAAATGTGAATTAAGTGAAGAGGGGGGTTACTACGTGTATTGCGTATTTGTTGTCCAGTTTGTTATAAAAGTAAACTTCATACTTATAGAAAAGTAAATTTGTTGGCCAACTAATTAAACTCTTAATCTCTTTTCAAACATATTTTTTTGTTTAATCAAATGATTTCAGTGTAAAAATGCAGCTTGTTAAATTTTTAATATTATGTAAACAAAAATCACACAAAAAAACTATATATTAAAAGAGCT